TTCCCTGAAATATAAAGCAGTCATACTTTTAACTAAGTAAAGAAACCGCAATTACCGAGCTCCAACTCCTGTCCCCCGCCTTAGTTCAATGTTCATCAAACTTAGTATCTCAGATTATGACCCACTCCAGCCTTTTCAACGTAAGCATATCCTCTCCTTCAATACCCTTTATTTACTCAGCTATGTAAATAATCATTTACAAGGTAATAAAGATCACACAGTCATATCACACCTTACCTTACCCGACACTAAAGCCCCGAAATCATCTCAAGATAACCTCAAGATAACCCCCCTCCCACCTTTCTTCATGCCCCCAGATCCGTCCACTCTCTTATCTCCCTCCCTCACCCCTTACCTTCTCCCCCCCCCCCTCCCTTTCCTACCCATCTCCCTTTCGTCCTTATTTTCCCTGTTCTCTTCCCGTACTCCTCCTTCATCTCGCCCATTCCCGTAACTCATTTTTCCCCAGATTCATACACAACTCTGCACCCGCAAGAATATGAAATACAGCTATTGCCAATAATCTTACATTATTTGTATATTCTCCCCATATTCACTGTGTTCTTTGCATTCTCTTCCATGTTTTCTGTGTTCTTTGTCATGTTCTCCATGTTCTTCACATGTTCTCTGTACAACTTTTAAGCTCATTATTCATGTACTCTGCAAGTTCATATTCCCCACAAGTTCACTGTGTTCAACATTCTCTTTCATGTTCTGTGTTCATTGTCATGTTCCCAATATGTTCACTGTGTTCAACATTCTCTTACATGTTCTGTAAATCCAATGTACAATTGTTTTCTTCCATTCAGAACAAATTTTCCAAGACAAACTTGTCTTGTTGTTTTTAACTAAAATTACTTGTCAATCAACTAAAAAATAGTCACGTTCATCATCTTTTCAACATTTCTTAGCTTAATTATTCATCAGTCAACTAAAATAGTCGCATTCATCCTCTTTTCTTGTCGTTTCTTAACTAAAAGTATTCGTCAATCAACTAAAAAATTAGTCACGTTCATCATGTTTTCTTGTCATTCTTAACTAAAATAACACCTCTCTCAACTAAAAATCATCATGTATAGCTTCGTTCAACACTTTCTTAACTAACATTATATTTCTTAGAGTATGAAGAATAGTCAAAGACACTCTTCGAGACTCCAAAGTTACTCTTCAAGACATCAATAACACACTCAAAGACGTCAATAACACACTAAAAGATGTCAATAACATATTAAAAGACATCAATGACACACTCAAAGACATCAAAGACGTCAAAATACTACTCATGTTCTCAAAAGTTATTCTCAGAGTCATTGAAAGTTATTTTCAGTCATTAAAAGTTATTCTCAGAGCCATAAAAAGTTAATCTCAGTTATCAATGTTATTTTCTAAATCACCTTCGTTCATCAAAGAAACTTTCTAAGACATCTTCATTCATCAAAGTTATTCTCTAAGACATCAAAATTTATCCTCTAAGACTTTTAAAGCTATTCTCAGACCCATAAAAGATATTCTCAGAAATATCAAATATAATCTCGGACATTAATGTTATCCCTATATCATCAAAAATAATCTCTTAAACATCAAGAATACTCTTCAGGCATTAAATAACACTCTCAAATGTAACATTGTTCTTCATTCAATAAATAAGTAGTCAAAGATACGATTTCAAGACATATGAAAATTAAAACATGTCATTATGTATTCACAATCAACTTTAAGTAAAATATCAAACCAAACATGTACAACTTTAAGTACTAATAAACTTATTCGTCATGTATAAATAAGTAAAATAACTGCCTTTTATGTAGTACCAGCTTTCACTAAGACAGCTTCACTAAGACATTTAGAGTTAAACTCGTTAATATCATTTAATTTGTTACAAAACATCACTTTTTATGTAACTAGTTCAGTTTTTCATATCAAACTTACACTACTGTTAATAATTATTCTGTTAAATATATTTTCTTAGGCACTTTACCTTAAAATTGTTCTCTGAACATCACTGCATAACCCTACCTAACCTAACTTACCTGTACTAGCCTACCCTAAAGTAACTTATCATAACTTATCTACCCAACCCAACTTGCCCATACATACCTAACCATACTTGCCTGAGCTAACCTATCCTAATGTAACTTACCTAACCTCTCCTACCTGATTGAATATAACATAACTTACATAACCTACCCTATCCTAACTTAACATAACTTACCTAACCTAACTTAACTTCCATAACCTAACTTAACTTACATAACCTAACTTAACTTACATAACTTAAATTAACTTACAAAACCTAACCTAACTTAACTAAACTTAACTTACATAACCTAACCTAACTTAACTAAACTTACATAACATAACTTACCGAAACTGGCATTACCTAACTTAACATAACCTAACCTAACTTACCTAGTCCAACTTACCTATTCCTCCCTATCTGAGCTAACTTACCCAACCTGACTTACATAACTTAGAATACCTAAAAAACTTTACTATCCTAATTTACCTGTAGTAATCAATCCTAATGTAACTTTTCACAATATAACTTACTAACTAAACTTACATAACGTAACATAACTTCTCTATCCTCACCTACCTAACCTCCTCCACCGTACCTTTACTTAGCTTATATTCTCTCATACTTTTTAATTAATTTATAGGAAGTCCATTTACGACATCTAGTCTTTACATACTTTCTTGAAACATTTATCAAACTAAATCTTCTCAATTCATCTTCTCTCTTATGTTTAAGCCCCAAGTTTAGAGTCCATTTATTCAATAACTTATGTTAAGTTTCGTATTTTTCCACCAATTAACTAAGTTCTCAAATTGGGGGCTTATGCATCCACTTAGGATGGAGTGTTTATGCATTTCAGGGGAATCGTTATATATAGGCATCTGTTCGTTTAAAGGAGTTAATTTCTCAAATGGTCATTTATGCATTTCAAGGTTTATTTATTAAAGATGGGATGTTTATTTATTTCAGGGAAATAGTTATACAGGGGTTTATACGTTTCAAGGGGTTAATTTTTCAAACGATCATTTATGCATCTCAAGTGTTATTTGGTAAATATGTGGATGGTTTAAGCATTTCAAAGGTTTTTGTTATAGATATAGGTAGTCTGGTCAACATACTTCAGCCACGTTATTGTGACTCATCGCCTGCAGATATAGGTAGTTGTTTGTTTCAAGGGTTAATTGCTAAAATAGAGTGTTTTATCATTTAAAGGGATATATGTCAGAGATGTCAGTTTAAGCACTTTGTACCTTTTTTTATATAAAGTTCACCAAGTTGTTCATAAGTTATAATTATTATGTTTAATATTTTTGTTCCTATTTTTTACCCTTTAACCAAACCTCTTTGATCTTAGTGTATACTTATTTGGTTATAAGTATAACTGCTTTAAATTTCAGGAAAATTTATTAGGTATTAACCAAGATAAGAGAGGGAGTTAAGGTGGGGGACCGGAGCTGGAGCTCGGTAACTAAATTATTGTATTTACTGAGTACGGAATATAAGGGGATTTAAATTGGGGCTAAAATTGGGTTATTAGTAGCTAAAATCCACTTATAAATGCAGTTTCTGACAAATTTGGTCTTAAACTGGGTTGTCACATTTTGTTCTTAAACTGGACTCTCTTAAAGTTTCAGTGTCAAATTGGACTCTGATTAATTTCGGTCTTTAACTGGACTCTAAATATTTTTGGGCTCAAACTGGTCTCTGACTAATTTTGGTCTCAAACTGGATTCTGTCAAATTTGTTCAATTTCGGTCCTAAAATGGTCTCTGACAATATTTTGGTCTACAAATAAATGGTCTCTGAAATTATTTTGGTGTTAAATGAACACATATTTTTGGTCTTAAAATGGTTTCTGAAATTATTTCGGTCTTCAACAGGTCTCTGAATAATTTCGGTCTTTAACTGGTGTCTGTTCAATTTCGGTCTTATTTGGTCTTTGAACAATGCCAATCTTTTACTGGACTCTGAAGAAATTCGGTCTTCAAATAGCTTCTGAAGAAATTCGGTCTTTAACTGGTCTCTGTCAAATTTTGGTCTTAAGCTGGTCTTTGAACAATTTCGGTCCTCAACTGAAATATTTTTTGGGGTCTTAAAATGGTCTCTGACGAACTTTGGTCTATAACTGGTCTTTGTCAATTTTGGCCTCAAACTGGTCTCTGACGACATTTGGTCTTAAAACAGACTCTGACTAATTTCGGTCTATAACTGGACTCTGATGAAAATCGGCCTGAAAATAGTCTGTCATATTTCGGTCTTAAAATGGCCTTTGAGGAATTTCGGTCTTCAACTGGTCTCTGAAATTATTTTGGTCTTAAACTGGACTCTGAAAATATTTCGGTCTTCAACTGGTGTCTGACTAACTTCAGTCTTCAACTGGTCTCTTAATAATTTAGGTCTTTAACTGGTCTCTGAATAATTTAGGTCTTTTATTTATGAAACAGCAGTAAAAGGTTATAAGACAAACACTTACTGCTTAGATGTCTATTTTACTTTAACAAAACTTTTATGAGAATTTCCTCTATAACAATATCTTTAACAATGTTTTATGATCATATGAACTCTGAACTCATTTTTGTCATGAACAAGTATGACAAAGTGAGGAATAATGTTCTGAAAAAATTGGACTCAAGCGTGTGGGCCACAGCGGTAACTTGGAACATTTTACCTGGAACCCCTGACGCCTTAGCTGGAACTGACCCCCCCCCCAAAAAAAAAAAAATTAGTTCCCGCTAAGGAGTCGACCCTAGTACTCGAGGAATCACCTAGTGACCTAGTGGTGGAGGGTCTGGGTCCTCACCTGGAGATCTGGAGGAAGTTGCGGGGCCTCACCTGGTGACCTGGAGGAGGGTCCGGGGGCCTCACCTGCTGGCCGGTGACCTGGAGTCGGATCTGAGGCCTCACGTGCTGGCCATTGACCTGGAGGAGGGTCCGGGGCCCTCACCTGCTGGCCGGTGACTTGGAGGAGGTTCCGGGGTCTCACCTGCTGGCCGGTGACCTGGAGGAGGGTCCGGGGCCGCATGGTGCGCGCGGTGGTGGGGTCCTCAGGAACGTCACCCAGGACCACGTTGACCAGGGCGTACTCCATGAGGGAGAAGAACACGAACACTGTGCACGACGACATGAACACGTCGATGGCCTGCTTGAACACCAAGGGTGAGAGAGGAAGGGAAGAGGAAGGAAGAGGAAGGAAGAGGAAGGAGAGAGGAAGGGAGAAAGGAAGGGAGAGAGGGAGAGAAGGAAAATAAATGTAATTATGTGTAGATGATAATTGTGTGGGAGTGAGAAAATGTGTGTAAATACGCTTACCTTTCTTTTTTGCAGGGATATTGCTGCGTGGGCCCTAAGCCTCTGGCTGGCCCACTAAGTGTTGCTTGTTTCTGTTTTACTTGGGCGGAGTATGAGTATTTATGACTCGTATGGTCGCTTCAGTAAGATTTTACCATATGTGTTTAACAACTTCTTCTGCTCTGTTGAATCTAAGTTGAAATCTTAATGGGTTTGTAACTGTGCACTGTGTTAGATAATGTTCCAGTGGTCTGTCGGGCATTTCTCCACAGTGCTACGCTTAGCTATTTATACTCACGTATTTGTGCCTACAGGAATGAGCTCTAGCACTTGGACCCCGTTTGGCTGCTGTGACACCTGTGACATGCAATGACTCTTGCTTTAGTCCTCTATCATATATTATTTTGAAACTATGAATTGAGTTCGCATCTAAAACCTGGTACTTAAGTCCATTCCATTTTCCCACTACTATCACCCTAAATTAAAACTTCCTATCTCCATGTCTCAAACTTCCATCTATGCCCTCTTGTTCTATTGGTATTAAAATTTTGAATATCTCCATTTTTCTACATTGTCATTAATCCATTAATTAATCATTCGTATTTTATATGACTATATCATGTATCATCCTGCTCTCCTTTTCCCCAATGAAGTCAGGTCTAAATCTTTCAGTGTTTCTTCACATTCCATTCACTACAATTTCGGGACGAGCTCCGTTGCAAATTTCTGAAACGTTTTAAGTTTTCTCTACTACTACTACTACTACTACTACTAATAATAATAATAATAATAATAATAATAATAGTTTATTCAGGTAAACGTACATACATACAAAAAGAATTACAAGCAGAATGTTGGATTTCTAGATAGAGCTAGTATATAATATGCTTAAAACCATTAATATGCACAGCGTTTCTCAGGGTTCTGTGACGGGGCAGCATACTACATGACTGGGCTCACGTAGGTGGTGTACAGAGATCTAAATGTCTCCTTATTTGGTTTCCTGAAAGACGTTCTAACCTTTGCTAGTGAGGAGTATGCTGCTGACGTTATCCTCTTCATATATGCCTCCAGAGTTAGGGTTGGTATTATCAACTTCCAGGTCTTTTCTCTAGTTGTTACAGAGAGCAAGTTTTCCTTCGTTGTGTAACTGCTCCCATTTCCACCACCTTATACTTGCTTGTGTTGAACTCTAATAGCAATTTCTTCGGACAAATTCTGCAGCTTGTCTAAGTCAACTTGGTGTACCTTAAAGACCTCATCTGTCTCGAGTCTTCTGTTTAACTTTGAATCATCTGCAAACATAGTCATACAGGATTCCACTACTGTGGTTAGGTCATTAACATAAATGGAAAAGTAATATGGGTCACAGCACGGATGTGAGGTACTTTAATTGTCACTTCTCGCCCCACATCTACACTCCCTGACTCTTGTCTGTCAGAGACTGGTCCGCGGGGGACGGTGATCCTCGGAATCATCCACAGGTAAAAAAGAAAAACCTTGTCAGTGCTCTTCGACGTATTCCCGCCTGTCTCTCAGGCTGCTTCTCAAGCTTATGTAGTAGTCTCTTACGTGGAGCTGTGTCCAAGGCTTTTAGGCAGTTCAAAAATACGCAACTGGCAGAACCTTCACTGTCATGTCTTATTTTGTTTCTGTCATAGAAACCCAGTTGGGTAGATAAACATGATTTCCCTTCCCTGAAGATATGTGGGTGCTTGTTTACATACATGATCCTCTCTATGTGTTTACATACATGATCCTCTCTATGTGTTTACATACATGATCCTCTCTATGTGTTTACATACATGATCCTCTCTATGTGTTTAACTTAACCAGTGTTGTTATTCTATCGAGAGCCTTGCTGTAGATGCTTGTCAGTGATACTGGTCTGTAGTTTAGTGCCTCCTCCCTATCTCCTTTTTTATATATTAGTACGACGTTCGCCATCTTCCAACGGTTAGGTAAAACTCCTTTTTCAATTTATTCATTAAAGAACAAATCTAGATGTATACCGAGGGGCATTTGCAACAATTTTTAACACCCTTGGTGAACTATTATCAGGTCCTTTATCTTTGTTTTCATCTAACGATGCTAGTTGTCTCGTTGTTTCTTCTGCTGTTATCTCAATATTTGTCAGTCTCTAGTTTAGGGTTCCCGCCCCTCCTAGCGCTGGTAGCCGTTTCGGCTCAGTTGTAAACACATGATGGAAACTGTCACTAAGCTTCTCACAAATTTCCTTGTCAATTGTTGTATGTTCTTTGCTCTTCGTCAGTAATCTAGTGTGAGAGTTGACACTCTCATAGCTCAAATTTATTGCTTGTATTAATGCTTGCAAGATCAAACTTCGTTAGCTGATGTCCACTGTATTAAGTTGGATGTCATTGGACTCATCTCTACGAGAAGAGTCAAAAGGGGTCATCAGTTGTGATCTGGCCATCTGGTGCAATGAGTCGCAATAACCAACAGGTCAAGCCTGAAGGACCCATATGGAGAAAATCGTGCTACAGAGTGTGGTGGTGGGGGGAGGGGGGGGGTGTAAGAGAAAGTCCTCCCCTGACAATAACGGTTTGTTTGGTGACCACAAACCCTCCTTTTCCCCTCGGAAACAGTGTCCCACTCTATCTGGACGTGGTGAAACTAGGCATGACATCACAAGATGCCGCTACCACTCATAGGAGGTCACAGGAAAGGCAGGAAGGCCTAGAGCCTCTGATTGGTCAACAGGTGATGACGTCACAACATTTTGGAGGGTCCATGAGGTAACAAGTATCGTCATTCGGGAAAGGGCCACTTAAGGGGAAGATGACTATCTTACGAGCTCAAAGACCAGTCTTTTTGTCCGAAGTCCTAGAGTATCAGTTTACTCTAACACCAGTAATACACCAGATCCGAATCACTGGGGCATTACAGGTGTCAAGAGACACCTGTAATGTATTTACATCAGAAAGATACGGGAATCACGACGCAACGAGGGTTAAAGGACCAGCCAGAGCACGCGTGTCGTACGCAAGGTGTAGTAATGTGAAATCACTAAATGATGCAATTTCAGAGGAAATTGTTGAGTAAACCGATAAGGAAGGGAAGGGAAAGTACCAAGCCATTACGACTATATAACACTTGCAAGTGGTCAGGATAAGAATTTGGGATGGGACGGGGGAAGGAATGGTGGCCCCCAACCACTTAGACGGTCGGGGATTGAACACCGACCTGCATGAAGCGAGACCGTCGTTCTACCGTCCACCCCAAGTGGTTGGGCTAAACCGATAAGGAGAACAAGACGGTAGACCACGTGCGCCCGTAGGTAATTCAAAGTGGTAAGACTCATTGTCAACGTGTGAGTGTGAGAGGAAGTGATTGTCCATCCACCAGTGAAGCATCTTCAGGGACAATCAAGTGTGAAATATCCCAGAAGTGTGAAAAGCTTTTGGGGCTAGCAAACCAGTGTTGTTTCGCTATGGAGGGGATGAGAGGTGGGTGAGGAGTACCTCTCTCGCCCGAGGTGTGTGTGTGTTTTGTTCATGCATGTGTTCATAAGATATTATGTACATCGCTCTGCCCTGGTGAATCTCTATTACTCCCTTATCTATCCATATCTCAACTATGGTATTTGTGCTTGGGGTTCTACTACCCAAAATCATCTACGTCCTCCAATTACTCAACCCAAAGCTGCTATTAGGACAATATCCAACTCTGGCCCCAGACATCACTCGGTACCCCTACTCAAATCTCTGAATATGTTAGATATTAAGTCACTGCACATTCTCTCATGTGTATTATACATATATAAAACGCTGAACTGTAATGCCAATCCTGACCTCAAAAGCTTCATAGAAGGTTGTAACAGAACCCATGAGCACCACACCAGAAACAAATACAGTTTTGATATCCCAAGAGTACGACTTAATCAAACTAGAAATGATCTACAAATCAAGGGACCCAGAATGTGGAATGACCTTCCCAACCATGTTAAAGACTGTACCTCTCTCAACCAGTTTAAGATAAAAACGAAGCAATACCTAATAAATTCCCTGTAACCTACCTTACCCCTCTATTGTCAACCAATGTCTGTATTTTTAAATGACGCTGTTTGTCGACCGAATTGTATTTGTACTGCTTTTTCAGCCATGTTCCTCCTTTTTATCTCTTTTTTTATTTTGTTCTATACTCATTTTATTCTTTATGCTCAATTAGTATTAAGCTTTAGTCATTTAAGTTTTTCATGCCTGAAACGCTTTGCATAATAGTGGCTTTAGGCATTGTGTGTACTAGCCCTATCTATTAATCCATCACTCTTTGTACAATCTCTTGTATGTATGTACCTTACCTAAATAAACATTTGATTTGATTTTGATTTGAACCGCATGACACAGAAAACGGGAAGTGTGGGGCTTGTATGGGGCACGCTACATCATGTGTCAAGAAGTGGGGTTTATTGTACATCATTCTAAAAGACTATTGAGCGAGGGTAGTAATTTACGCTAGAGCCATTGGTGGTCGTGTCACAGTGATTGACCAGCTCGCATAGTTCAACACCGAACTCACTGATTTTTCATGTCTTTCGGAAAGCTTGAGGTGGAACTTTATCCAACATTAAAGGATACATTGTTGGGTTTCCTCGCTAAAAATCTACAGTCTACCTGCCACCTGAATCATCAGCGACAGCAGAGAATGAGCGTGACTGGTGTGATTGAATGTGAGTACAAGACCCGGGTTATTTAAAGTGTTGTGTACATATTAATTTTGGTGAACAGTAATCACCCAATCTTTGTATCGATCAGAGAATATCTCGCAACGAGCTTTCTGTGCCTTGGGATCAAATGAGATTGTGGAAGTGTTAACCTGTCAAACGTA